TTTTCCTTGCTTTGTTTTTTTTTTTTTTTTTTTGGTTTGTTCTCACTCTTATGTATACTTCTCTTTACCTATCTTTCTTTCTTTTCTTTCTTTCTTATACTTTTCACATTACAGCCTTGCTACAGTCCTTTTATTTTTCCTCTTTTCTTTAGATATACATCATCATCATCATCAGTGGGAATAGGAATGGTAACATCAAATACTGGAGGGTTACTTTCTACTACCACTGACCCTTCTACAATCACAACAAGTAAAGATGATCGTGTTTGGTCTGAATTTAAAGAAGGCATGTGTGAACTGTTGAACAGTGAACGTTGCCTGGTCGTGGCGGCCGCCTCTCCGGATGAGGTCGTCTCTGTTTGCCGCTGTGTTGATGATGTGTGCGAAAAATTTCATAATCATCATAATAATCATAATAATAATAATCATAATAATAATAATAATAATAATAATAATAATAATAATAATAATGGAGATGATCATAGTCATAGTGAAGAAGAAAAGAGTGTAGAACTACTAGCTCTACGAAATGCCCCAAGAGTAACGTTCACCACAGAAGAGAATATATCCAAATTGGAGAAATGTACCGCCGTCTATGGCCGTGTGCCGGCGTTTATCGTGATGGAGATGGAACACGATCGCTTCTTTGTGCTAGACCTCCCAGACAAGAATAATAATAATAATAATAATAATAATAATAATAATAAATCCACTATGGCAGAAGAGATGGAGCGATTCCTGCGGGGCGTGGTGAAGGGCACTATTCCAAAGGCCCTGCAGGGGGATCCGCCGCCGCCGAATGATCAATTCGAGCCAACGCACGGCATCACGTTAACGAATGGACTCTGCGCCGTCACCAGCACAATAGCGCGACTGAAGCGCGAGCGGCCCGGCGGGGCGTTGTGTGTTTTCTGGAGTGAGCGCTGCCGCATGTGTGCGACTGTTATTAAGATGGTGGATTCTCTTGTGGAGATGATTTGGAAGGCCGCGGCTGCTCGCCACGGTGTGGAGAAGCCATTCAATTTCTTTATTTGCAATATTGACAGCAATGATCTGCCGGAGTATGATTGGCCAACACCCCACAACGCACAGGTGGTGCCCGCAACAGTGGCGTACAATAAAGAAGGCAAACGAGTGATGTTTAAAGAGAAACGAACAGCCCCGTTATTGGCGGCATTTATATGTGAAGAGTGTTTACCAAAAGATCTCGTCGATGTGAAGGCGATATCATCTGAAGTAATCGCAGCGGCAGGGAAATTATATGAAGAAATATCGTTGGAGTGTACGGGCATCACTGCGGCATCTCTTCCCACTCGCACTGTAAACACAGCGAAGGCCGATGATGATAATAATAATAATAATAATAATAATAATAATAATAATAATAATAATAATAATAATAAGAACGAGGCACACAACTCCTTACATCTTTCAGAGGAGAACAATATGCGTAAACGACCACGTTCCGATACTGTAGTAGAGAGCAATGAGTGAATGTAAGAAAAATAAAGAAAGATATATATATACAGAAGAAAAAAAAAAAGAAGTGATGGAAAGAAATCCAAAATAAATGAAAAGGAAGGAAAAAGGGGGATATATCTATCAGTGTTTGGGTCTGGGAGTGAGACATTGAGAAAATAAAAGAAGTCTTCACAGAAGATGAAATATAGCAATGACAAGAATGATTAAATATATGCAAAAAGGAAAAGAAAAAAAAAGAACAAATGAAAAAAATAGTTGCAAAGGAGAAAAGAATCGAGAGTTGAGGAATGTAGACTTCAATGTAACTTTGTTGTTCCTCACTTTCTCCCTTTAATTTGCTTTAAATACATTTCTGCTATCGAATGATATGTTAAATATCCGGTATAAAAGTCCTCTACATCTGTTGTTTTTTTTTTTTTATTTATTCTCTTTTTTTTTTTTATATTATGTTAGTTATTATATTGAGAAAAAAGTGAATATAGTGATATGACGGGAGTAATTCTCTGCGTGTGTGTGTGTGTGTGTG